TTTTACATTTTTATTTGGCATAGCTAAATGCCCTGAAAATTTACAGATGTGTACCTCGCGTGATTCAAAACCCACTAAAAAAGTTTCAAAAACTAATAAGATTGTTTAGACTCCGAACTAAAGTGAAAACAAAAGGTAAAAAGTGAAAAAAACCGTGGACGAGCACGTTTTGACACCGCCATCTTTGGCGATTTTTAATTTTTATTTGGATGAGCCAAATGACTTGAAAATTTATAGGCAATTACCTCACGGCATAGAAAACTCACAAAAAAAAGGTCAGAAAGAAAAGTGTTTTCTTAGGTCCCGAAATATGTTTTGGCGGGGGCCAAATGTCGTCGGGTTTAAACCCCATACGGGACCCCGAACGCCCGTACGTACGGAGGTCTGCCCAGGGACCTCCATACGTATGGGCTGGTGACCTGTGCATATATATATATATATATATATATATATATATATATATATATATACTAGGCGGCCATGCTGTGCCTCTAGTGCTAGAGGTGTGTCTGGAGTGTATTTTTTGGCTGTAACAGACCTTTCTTTATTTCGTGGATGTTTTGCTGGCTTGTGATGGGGTGTGAACTGACAGTCTGTAGAGTTTTCCATCTGGTGTGAGTGAGTGATAGTCTACTTTGATTTTGGTTAAGGTAGATTATCATTTACAGTGTAATAAGTGAGGGGATTCTGCAGACTGTTGGGGGGTCAGCCTGCTGATGAGTCGGTGAAACTCCGACGAAACAATTTATCACAGCCCCTCGTTTGTTGTCCTCTTCTCTCTTTTTGCCTACGGTTTACCGGACAGTTTTGTTTGTGACGATATATGTTACGACTTCGCTAGCTTCCTGCTACGATTTTTTCCGGTCAGGTTGAGCGGCAGTGGTCGGGGCCGTTACTAGGCGGCCATGCTGTGCCTCTAGTACCATCGGTGTGTCTGGAGTGTATTTTTTGGCTGTGACAGACCTTTCTTTGTTTCGTGGATGTTTTGTTGGCTTGTGATGGGGTGTGAACCGACAGTCTGTAAAGTTTTCCATCTGGTGTGGGTGAGTGATAGTTTACTTTGATTTTGGTTAAGGTAGATTATCACTTACAATGTAATCAGTGAGGGGATTCTGCAGA